CGTCTGCTAGTGTTGCATGACGGTGTCGTCTGCTAGTGTTGCATGACGGTGTCGTCTGCTAGTGTTGCATGACGGTGTCGTCTGCTAGTGTTGCATGACGGTGTCGTCTGTTAGTGTTGCATGACGGTGTCGTCTGTTAGTGTTGCATGACGGTGTCGTCTGTTAGTGTTGCATGGCGATGTTATCTGTTAGTGTTGCATAACGGTGTCATATACCAACATGTTCTGCTTGCATCTATGACAAATACGACATACACATATACGCTCTCCTATGACACTATTTGTCATAGGAAGATTCTTCCTATGACAAAGATTGGCGAGTCAACTTCGTTCCGCTTTACAGCTGAAATTCACTGCTTGCGTTCATAATAGCGCTCCTAAACTCCTATGATGTGATCTACACACAATAGTGTCATAGGAGAGCGTATATGCGGATGTCGTATTTGTCATAGATGCTAGCAGAACAGGCTGATATCTTGGCCATAACTACCGCTGAAAACTTTGCGGGAAGGGCTATACTATACTATACTACATAGATCATACTCACACGTTACAGACACGATAAGCGCATGAAACTCGTATCAAGTTATAATAATGCGCGTGGTCGATAGTGACCGAATTAGGAGATCCTTCCTAGGTCTGCGCATTAGATCTTGCCATGTTCGATATAATACGGGCTGACACTGGCAGACATATAGGTCTTCGCTCAGACCTTTGCTGTTCGCTGTGCAATTAAGCAGGTAATCCTGTTCGAGCCGATGGCGGTAATTGACGTCATTTCGTGTAGATCATGGAGGATGCAGGAACCGACACGTTGTTGGCGGGCGCTTAATTACGGCGAAGAGGATAAAATATTGCCCATATATAGACTGTAATAATGGTGTGAAGATATGGACCAGCAACACCTCTATTATAAGAGGATGGAGAAGAGAGTAAGACACAGAGAGAGAGCACGAAGGAGAGAGAGGAAGAGAGAGAGAGAGAGAGAGAGAGAGAGAGAAAGAGAGAGAGAGAGGAGAGAGAGGGAGAGCGCGCGCGAGAACGTAGTCAAAGACAGTTATAGGTAAACCGATACAAACAGACACTCAAAGAAACAAACAAGGCACGCGCGTGGATGATACTCTAAGATATTAAGACAAAATTTGAAAGCAGACAGACAAGACCCTATAAACATGGTTGCAGCGTGGTGCGTCTAATGGTGCAACGTACATCCGCGGCATAAGAATCTTTAAAAATATAAATGAAAAAACTGTTATATATATATATATATATATATATATATAATAGATAGTCTAATTGAAATTAAATTCCACACGCTGCGGCTCCATTGCTATTGGTTTTTGGTATTAGCTGGCATGGGATATCTGTCGTCATTGTCTAAAGACTTGTTCTGCTTGCTAAACTCTGAATGTTGCCTGACGAACGTTTAGAGAAATGATTTTGCTGTTTTTATAAAGCCGTAGAATAGTAAAAACTCGTAAAAACAAACGACAAAACACAACTTGAAAACCAAAATACCATGAATTCTTAGGTGAAACGGCACAGTAGCTCACCGAAATAAACGGCACTCAATGATATTGCCAGCAAGTCAGTCCTTAGCGAAAAGAAAAAAACGTTTATCGGGCCAGTAAGTGTCCTTGTTGTTAATATGGTAACTGAAGCCTCTATTAGTAGATTTAATCACGCTTTATTTTTGATGATTGCGTTGATGATCGCGCGATTAATATCTCTTAGTCTCCAATATAATCAATAATATAATCAATAATATACTCTCTAATATCAAATACTTTAGTCTCAGTCGCCGTCGAATGGCGCGCCTTGAAAATCTACATTTTCAATCTAAATACAATTTTCAGCAATTAGAAATTGTGCATTATTCCCAAATAGTCTCCTTCCGAGTATATTTGCTGAGCGTTATTCGTTTTGTGCTCCCTATTATGCAACGAGAAATGAGCCGATACATTTATTACAGTATAACTGTGTAACCTGCGTAAACTGTAAATGTTACGAGTGCACAAATTTATAACTATATTATGAAATAGTTTACGTACAAAAGTGATTTTTATTTGAATGTTTTATCGTTAGATTGACACATTTCCTCTCGCAAACTATATTTGTACAAACCGATGCGTTATAGATGTCAATAGATACGCGTCGTATACAAAGATATTCATTGCGATGTTCTAACTAATTCTCTATTCATGAGCGGTTTCCTTGGTAACGGTGTCGCTTTTCGTATACAAATCAAATGGAAATGTGATGGGTTTAATTAGAAAAAAAATAGAACCGCCTCGAACACAGAGAACTAACCATTGAGGAGGGTGAAGACCCACGCGTTTATGCACCTTCTACGTTTACAAAAATGAATCAACACGCAGCCGTGGCAGCAATAATATTAACGTGGATAAGCCGGATTTACCCAACAAAAATTGCGCCCAATATACACACGATACCGGTTATCAACCCGGAGCTCTGACAGTGATAGAAAGTATGTCGTAACAGGGCATATAGCTCGCTACCATGATCTCTGTATATAACGAGATGAGTACATAACTTATGTAATATCAGTTGCCAAACCCCCGTTTGTTTCCAAACCCCCGTTTGTTGCCAAAGCCCCTTTTGTTGCCAAATCCTCGTTTGTTGCCAAAGCCCCTTTTGTTGCCAAACCCCCGTTTGTTGCCAAAGCCCCGTTTATTGCCAAAACCCCGTTTGTTGCCAAAACCCCGTTTGTTGCCGAAACCACGTTTCTCAAACTGCTCGCTTGCGCCGCTGTCATCGACAAACTCTAGCTGCGATTCGTGCAGCAGCCGTGGTTGCGTAGCGAGCGTCAGCGCTGGAACGACGCCCAGCACTCCGTCGTCGTCGTCGTCGTCGCCGTACCACCCGCTCTCAAGCACTCGCTTGTTACCAAAGCCGCGCTTATTGACGTCTTCGGCGTCTAGAGGCAGCGAGCGCTTGTTGCCGAAGCCGCGTTTCTCCGCTGTGACGTCATTAGCCGCGTACCCTGCCGCCGCGGCGTACTCGGGCAACGTCGCATCGCCGTCGACGGCCACCAGGTTGCGCTTGTTGCCGAAGCCTCGCTCGTCGCGTTGCGTCAGCTCGTCGGCGAGTGTGGCTCGGTCGAGGAACGCCTCGAAGTCGCGCTGGTTCGGCTGCTGAGCGACGACAGCTGCGCTCAGTAGAGCGACGATGACGGCCGTACGCGAGCCGACCATCGTCCACGGTCCGTACATTCCTGCCATGCGCAAACGGCTGGCTCGGAGTGGACCGCCTGTATCGCCGTGTATCCCTCTGAAATGCGACGCGCAAAAAGAAGAACACGTGATCACGTGCGTGCGCATTCTACTACCTGTCTGTCCGATTTATTGTATGAAATCGGCGGAAATTTAGGTCGTAAAATATTACACGAGCGATTTTCAATGTCAAGTAGCGAAACGTAGAATTAACGTAAATGGAAAAGACAGAATTCAACATTCAGAATATCACGTAATAATATTTGAACGTAATTATCAGATTAACAGTGTCGTTTGGTGTCGAATGTAGATTTCCGGTGTTTGAGAACGACCTGGAATGAAGACGCGTGGCTCTGCGCCTACTCTGCTACCCACGAGGCATGCATGTGGAAGACCCCCGGGGGGTAGTCACCTTTTTTGGGGATAGGAGTGCTCAACCTAAATGGGAAAATTGATGGCAAAACGATGGCTTGACTGTGAAAACATGGAACAAAACGATGGCTTGACTGTGAAAACATGGCACAAAAAGATAGCTCGACGGTGAAAACATGGGGCAAAAAGATGGCAAGGAAAAAATTGGGGGGCAAAAAGATGGCTAGGAAAAAATTGGGGGGCAACAATGCGGCGCATATATATATATATATATATATGTATATATGTATATATATACGTCACTATGCGGAGTACCCACCCCCGGGGGGAAGACCGAGGCAGCTACACACCCAGCCTGTTCTGCTAGCATCTATGACAAATACGACATACGCTTATACACTTTCCTATGACACTATTTGTCATAGGAAGATTCTTCCTATAACAAATATTGTTGAATGTGTTGTGCGCATCATAGGGATTTAGGAGCGCTATTATGAACGCAAGCAGTGAATTTCAGCTGTAAAGCGGAACGAAGTTGACTCGCCAATATTTGGCATAGGAAGAATCTTCCTATGATAAATAGCGTCATAGGAGAGTGTATATGCGTATGTCGTGTTTGTCATAGATGCAAGCAGAACATGTTGATACATCGGCGGTATGCAAGCCAGAGAACTTCAGCCTCGCAAGCTCTCGGGTGAAGCTACGATGCGAAGTAGAAACCCTCGCGTACGTCTATTTCTCTATCTACCGGGCGTGCATGTAGACCGTTGAAGCAGGAGACGCGTATCAACCATATAAATGTTCAGTGTAATAATATTCATAATAATATTTATAATTATAATAAAATATTATATTATCATAAAATATTCATAATAATAATAATAATAATAATAATATTAATATTCAGCATTAGCTGGACAAACATAGAGCGTCTTGTGCTGCCGTTATCTACCGGTGCTCGTTCAAATTAGCGACAAATTACACGAACTATCTGCCCTTTTAATAGTGTTGCGGTCATGATTATCAGAGCGAGATATAGTACTTATTGCATAAGGTATTTTGGTAAGGTTTAATTTTAAGGCTGAGTATTGCTTCTCTTCTTGGTGAATTCATCAGGGACTACCAGGTAATCAAAATTATTCTTAACGTTTATTCCTGTTAAGCTCTTAGCGCTATAGGCTCGCAGTATATTAACGTAGTTTCGCAATTGCATAGAAATGCTTAGTGATAAAAAGGGAATCAAACAATAAATTTAACATAATGAAATTGATGGACGAACTTTTTTCGAAATGAAGCCATCAATGAATTAACGTTAGAATTAATCATTTACTACCCAATAAATACATATCAAAGGCGGACAATTGATTCTTTCGTCGTAAATGCACCGTTACCTCAGCTACACCGCGCATGGACTGTGGTGTCTACGTGTTGCCTTGCGTGACGCAAATCGGTGTAGCGTTTCTTCACACTTATGCCATTTTGGGCCAGTTTACTTAACAGGGTTTTTCTTCGTATACATTTCCATGAGGGTCTCCTTATTATGTATATGTCATTACAATGTATTATTCATGCATATATCATTTAGATGGTATATCACCAACATTGCCGCGCTGGTTTATCAGGTTGTACAACGCACTCTAGCAATCGATGACCTGGTTGTATAAATTACTTCTTCGCTGCTAACGTTATATAATTAATTCGGTGGGGCTCTTAATAATTACATATTATCATAATTACATACTTCACTATGGACGGGATGCTGCATGATTATCAGACGAAAATGAGCAGTATGCCAGGCAGCACAGACTGAGCTTGTACAGCGAATGCAGACGTCATTAGCAACCGTCACTCTGGACGTTTAAATATTTTAAATGTGGTAAATAAAACGAAATGTATTTACTTACGCAAGTCGTTTTTAACCGAAAAAAATTGTTTTCGATTATTCAAGACCAGGGCTTGATGAATCGGTTGACAATGTACCACCAGCGTGACGGGGTTTCGGAGCCGTTCGCTAATTACCGCTCAAGGATGCACAAGCATGTCTGCCTGGCGATGTGTGACATAGAACGCATGCTGGTTGCTGTGGCCGAGCCAGGCACTTGACGTTTCAATAAAAATATGGGTAATAACCGAATGTATTTTGTACCAAGAGTCTTTACTGTTTTCTATCTCTTTATCGATATTATTGGATCGATATCTACTGTCAACTGTTTCTCTTGCAACACACAAGTACCCGACGCACGGTGCCGTGCGCAAACACAACAATATTTACCTCTTTTATTTTGTTATTTCGTGCCAACACAGATTAGTTAGAGAACGTGACTTTGGTATTAATACATTTCGATGTTTTTTTTTGTATGTTAATTATTGAAACCGTTCCAGTGGCCGTGGACCGCCCGCAACATGCGGTGAATTCAAGATAGGCGTGTTCACATGCAGGCAATTCCGTTAGCGAGCAGATACCACAGCACAGCGCTTCAAGCAGCAACAACTAATTCTCTAGCGTGGGAATCACCGTTATTGGCGCGTCCTACGTTCGCATGGGAGATGCAGAAGTAGGAGGGTATCGTCCAACGCGCTGGCAGACTAGCGCATCTAGGGATTTCAGATGAAGTTATGACGCAGCTATCTTGATACTGTGTTGTCCTAGTGGTTATCTCGTCTTTGGGGATTGCACGATATATAACCACGCGAGCCGTTAGCGAGGCGGTCTGCTGACCAGGCTCGTTCTCGTTTTATTGGCTGGCCTGACACTTGTACTTAGTGACGTAGATTTGTCACGTGACGACTGCGTATAGTGTGTGTGTTTCTTTGGTGGGATCGAAATCATGACGATTCGGAGGCTCGTTGTTGGACGCGTCGGCTGGTCCGTCGGTCGGTTTGGCGGATATGTTTATGGGTATAGTTAAATTCATTGAAGGGAGTGATATAATATAGAATGTATAGTATAGCTTGATAGTAATAGATCTTTATTATCTTGCTCTTAGGCTATATATTATTATATTTGTTGAACTTCCCATATAAAGTCTGCTATTTCTGCCATTTAATAATTGCACATTTCAACTTTTGATATGTTCTCAAGGCGAGAAATTTATTGGGTACGTCTCCCGTTCAAGCGACTGGGCATGGGGTGGCGAGTGAGCGAGTTATGGCGGCAGAGGTCGCAGATGCGATTGGATGTGTGGCGTGGGGCTGGGGCGCCTACCTTTTACTCATTATTTGCGTCTCGGGCTCCTTAGTTGTTGCCGCCCGCAAGCGCTAGCATCGCTCGACAAAGGCCGCGAGCTCTGCCGTATTTATCGAACCAGCGAATAATCTCCCCTGACGCAGCGAATCGCGTTTCTGCCGCTTTCACACGGGTCGTCATATCTACTGTAAGAACCAATTAAAGCGCCAGGCGCTTTGCGAGGGCTCGGCTCCACTCGCAATGGAACGACTTTCCACTCGTGGCCGAAACTGGCGAGTCAACGATGCTGCATTGCTCAGTTCGGCTTATTCAGAATTATTTTCTTGGCTTTCTTTCATCGTCGGAGCGAAATTGAACTTAGTCGATTTTCGCGTCCGTATTGAGCCTTGCGCGGTGCGCTTTGCTGCGCTATGCATGGTTCTGCATCTACCCAATTTGTTGTCTGTGTCCGATCTACTTGTTGGTATGTGTGTTTATGTATGTTTATGTATCAGTTATGTATGTATGTATGTAGTTTATGTATGTATGTATGCTATGTAGTGTATGTATGTATGTTATGTTGATGTATGTATGTATTGTATGGTATGTATGTATGTACTCGTACTGTATGTATGTATGTATGTAATGTTGTATGTATGTACTTGTATGTATGTATGTTTGGTATAGTTGTATGCTATGTATGTATGGATGATATGTATGTTGTATGGTCTGTTATTGTACTCTGTATGTATGTATAGTATGTATGTATTTATGTTGTATGTTATGTTCGTATGTATGTATGGTTGTATGTATGTTATGTATGTAATGTATGTATGTATGTATGTATGTATGTTGTATGCATGTATGTTATGTATGTTATGTTGTATGTATGTATTGTATGTATGTATGTATGTTGGTTATGTATGTATGTAATGTATGTATGTATGTATGTATGTATGTATGTATGTATGTTGTATTATGTATTGTATGTCTGTTATGGTTGTAATGTATGTATGTATGTTTTGGTATGTATGTCAGCTGTATGCTTATGTAATTATGTATGTTATGTATGTATGTATGTATGTATCGATGTTGTTGTTGTATGTCTGTATGTATGTTGTATGTATGTATGTATGTGTATGTATGTTGTATGTATGTATGTATTTGTGTTTGTATGTAGTATGTATGTATTGTATGTCATGTATGTATGTTGTATTATGTATGTATGTATGTATGTTGTATGTATGTATGTATGTATGTATGTATGTTGTATTGTTGTTGTGATGTATGTTGTATGTATGTCATGTATTGTTGTTGTATGGTATGTATGATATGTTGTATGATATTGTATGTATGTATGTATGTATGTATGATCAAGTTGGTCGATGTATGTATGTCCTGTATTGTATCGTATTGTTGTATGTAATGTAGTCTGTATGTATGCTTGTATGTAGTACGGATTTTCGTACTGTCTAGTGTAGGCTTAGCGCTGTGTATTCGGGTGGGACACACTGTGTGTGTGTGTGTGTGCTGTACCTGTGTGTGTGTGGTGTGTGGTGTGTTGGTAGTGTGGTGTGTGCGTGCAGTTGTGGCGCGATGTGAATCGTATGTGGCAGTGGTGTGCGTGTGTGCGTGCGTGTCGCTGGCGTGTGTTGCGTGGTGCGTTGCCCGGCTGTCAATGGAGCGGGCCGCCCGGCCGCATGCTGCATGCCATGCCCACCGCCTGATATCTATCTGCATCAGTCTGCTCGCTCATCTCTCTACTCTCTCTCTCCTATCTCTCTCTCCTCTCTCTCTTATTCTTCTCTATTCTATCTTCCTCTTTCTCGTCCTTCTCTCTCTCTTCTGCTCTCTTCCCTCTCTCTCTCTCTCTCTTCTCTCTCTCTCTCTACTCTTCTTCTCTTTTCTCTCTTTCTCTCTCTCTCTTCTTCTCATCTCGCTTCTCTCTCTTCTCTTTATATATATATATATGATATAGTATATATCTTATTTATATATATATTTGTAGTTTATTGCGACGCTATGTTTCCTTGTCATCGAAAGTTCATGTATGCGTAATCCTCACCACGATTTTCGGCGTGCGGCGGTCGAAGTATGGATGAAGCAACCGGGATAGATTTGATTAAAAAAATGGTAAATATATTATATTTATCCTTCTCCATCATCAATACATATCCATCCATCCAGTCATTCATCCATCCATCCTCATCATCCATTCTCGATCCTCATCATCAGTGCATCTCCGATTCCATATCATCCATCGCCATCCATCCATCATCATCCATCATCATCCATGCCATCTTCCATCTCCATTCATCCATCATCATCGCATCCATCCATCATCCATTCATCATCCATCATCATCCATCCATCCTCATCCATCCTCATGCAGTCATTCATCCATCCATCATCATCATCCTCCAGCCATCCGATCCATCGCGCAGTCCATCCAGTCCATGCATCAATCATCCATTCCATCAATCCATCATTTCTCATCTCAGTCCATCAGTCATTCCATCCATCATCCATCACATCCATCATCCATCATCCATCCATCATCCATCATCTCATCATCCACTCATCCATCCATCAATCCTCCATCCATCAATTCCATCATCCATCCATCATCCATCATCATCATCCTCATCATCATCCATCCATCCATCTATCGATCATCCTTCCATCCATCATCATCCTCATCATCATCCTCCTTCATCCCATCCATCATCCATCCATATCCATTCTGATCATCATCCATCCATCCATCATCCGATAATATCATCCATCTATTTCCATCCATCCTCCTCTATCCAACATCAATCAGATAATAATTTCTCATCCGTTGCCCAATTTCGTCGCCGCTTCATTCGGTTTCGTTTTTTGTTACTTTTATTTTTGTTGAAATCATTATATATGAGCAAATCATAGTAGAGTTAATATGAAAATTTTATTTGCTCAAGATTATCTTATTATGAGCATTACCCTTCCGACGCTTTCTTCCGTTGGTTTGAATTGAGCTATTCGAAAACAGCTGTCTTACTCTAGAGTAGCTTTCGTTTGTGAAACTATGTAAGCGATTGCCTCTTATTAGATGAAAGGAGGTCCGCATTAACATTGCAAATTACTATATTATATTATATACTATTATATATATATATTTTTATTATAGCAGCGAGAGGAGGAGAGAGAGAGAGAGAGAGAGCGAAGAGAGAGAGATCGACGCGCGCGCGCACGCCACACACACCACGCACACGCACACAGCACGACGCCGACACGCCACCTCAGCCACAACACACACACACACACACACACACGCACACAATTGCTCATGTATACTTCAGCCAGGACCGCAAATTTAGAGGGCAAGGGTGTGGTCTATATATGGACTCCTTTGGCGTCCGTGGATGGGCTTCAGGGGGTCCGTGAACCCCATTGTATGCAAAATTTCGTGTTTATGTGCTTATGTGCATTTTTCTGTGGAGGGGTCCGTAGCTTTCATCATGCAGATTCTCAAAGGGTTCCATGACTCAAAAAAGGTTATAGGAACCACCGTTCTAGAGGGAGGGAAATTTTTAAGAAATAAAGTAAGATATATACATGGCTAGGCTGTTAAAGAATTAAGCTCAAAAAGGTTTGAATGGAAAATGTTGAAATGTTGGAGGCAGTTCGTATTTCGCCAGTAGATCAAATTGTAAATAGTGTAGAACAACTATATAAATTATGTAAATATAATAACCTGTATATTTCGTTAGTTCAAATTGCTGCATGCTAAATTGTTTAATGATTAAGAGTAATTTATGTAGCCTGACCACAATGGACGCGTGCTTGTCATACTTTTTATGTATATAATCTTTGTAGTTATCTAAATTCTTGATTTAAAATTTATTTTAACAATAAGTATATATGAATGATTAGCTGAGTAAATACAAATAAAGTAAACAAAATCAAATTGCGTTAGCGTGGTGGTGGTGTTTGTGTGGGGAGAGGGGACTTAAATCCGGCTGCCAGTGCGGTCAACTGCCCAAAATACACACCTCGGGTGGCCTTGCCCCAAGCAAAATAAGTTATAGCTATATACGACGTTGAACAGCTATAACTGCTATGGTTATCGAGTGACTAAATTAAGGCTTAACCGATAAATAATTAATAAACCGATTATCGTCGAGTTTTGGATTATGGATTTGTTTTAATAAATTTTTTAGACCAGACATAACACGCGACGCGTGAACTACGTGATTACTGAAATGCGTATGTACCATAGAAATAATATAGATAACCTATATTATAGATGGTATAGATGGTTATCTATATTATTTCTATGGTATGTACCATAGATATGTACAATCAAGAGCCTATAAAGAAGGGTATAATGTCCTTCTTTATATGCTCTTGGTACAATGCATGTCTGTCTCATGACGTCAGCTTCGGTCATTAAATTCTAAATATTTATTTTAAAATAATGTCTTAGCATATATATTTAATTCATAATTTCTCATTTGTCCTAAAGGCAATCAATTAGTATTTTTATTTGTACTTTTTACTTTGGTAATTAAATACTGGCTGTTGAAAAGCCAACTAGCTTTAACACGGCGTTGTGTAAGCACCTGTACATTGCACTTTGCCCTGTGCTTGGGAAAGATTGTTGATTTTTACTATGGTTTTACCAAGGTGTGATATAATGCGCTGAGTTCGTTAGCTTGCTCAATCGTTTGAATATAATAAGCTGTGCACGGGCAGAAAGGAAGACACCTACAAGATGGAGTTACCAACCTTGGAGGCCCAGCCGGTAGAGACTGATCAAATGATGGTAGCATAGTCATAGTTGCACTGGGGAAAATACTAAAATTAAAAATACTAAACTACCTACTAACAAGATTAGTATCATGAACATATTTATATAATTCTATGGTATAGAGCTCTATGAATGTGTTTATGTTAATACTAATACTAATAGTAATAGCAGGAGTAGCTCTAGTACTATAGGCATAGCCCGCAGGATCGCTGCCGCAGGCCTGCGGCAGCGATCCTGCGGGCTATAGTACTAGAGCTATAGCAGGAGTACCTTCCAACCACTATTTTGCGTTCACTAGTGGTGTTGGTAATTCGTTTAAGGGTGCTGAAGTGGATTAGTTGTTTCAGGCAGCGCAGGTTGGGTATGGCAATTCTAACCAAATAATATTACTATTAGTAATGCTGGCATGAATAATACGCATGCACTGATGCAGTAGTATACTATACAGTATAAATTGTTAACAATATTAGTTATAAGCACTTCTAACATAAATTAATACAGTAATTATATTGTAATCTGCACTGCATTATCTGTTATCATTTAGTTTGCATGTATAGTGATTGTTGTACCTATAGAAGATTGGGGTTTGCCACCCGGAAATCGTACTCAACTCAATTTAATTTAGCCTGATTGGGCCATTTGCCAAACCCAAACGAACTAAAAGCACAAACTATTGGGCCATGTCCGATTTAATTAGCGGCAGTGCTATTGAGCTGAATCAAATTAAGCTTCCATGTGGCAAAGTTCCAAACCCAAAGCCATTTCCCAGCACTGTGGGTTTTATTGCCCAGTTATATAACCCATATATTATTTATTATTTATGTTATATTGGGTTTAGGAATGTCCTCATTGCGAATAGGAGCAATAGCCTCTAGTTGAGCAAAAGGCTACATAACCACGTTCATATCAGATTGACTGTAAAGAAACTAAACAATTATCAAGTTTAACAAATGCCTGTGATAATCAGAGATTTGCTCGGCTCACGCGTGTTAGTAGCAAGTGATTGGTCTTATTGAATTAAGCACAGATAGCTGATTGATATTAATTAAAGTAGTATATTTTGTCAAAGTACGTGCATAACCTTGCATAAGTTCCTGCAGCAAGAACAAAGGTGTGGTTTTTCAGTTTTTATCGTTGTTCACCCTGTAGTTTACATGCTGAATTTCAATAATGGCCAAGGCTAAGCAGTGCTGAGAGGGTCGATGTTCTCCAGGGTACTGCCGGACCGTACCCTGGGTACGGTCCGGTATACCGGAACGTACCCTGGTACCAAAGCATATAAATCAACGTGATTTATATGCTCTGCTGGTACTATCTAATATGCCGGACCGTACCTCGCCTACTCCACTAACGAGTCTCGAGAGTCGCCTACGCTTACTCACTAACCCTAACCCTAACCTTAACCATATCAGATAGTTACCAGGGTACGTTCCGGCGGTACCCTGGGGGACATATAGACCCTATGAGCCTAAGCAGTGTACTGTACATGTGTATGGTAGCCAAAATGTCCCAAAATGCACTGCATGTTAAAGATTTGAATTTGACTTCTAGAAGTTATATTGCATTTTGAATAAACTGTGGCCAAACTGGGTATACTAATTTTATCATCAGAGTAATTTTTTATCACATAATAAATCCATGCATTTGTTCTGTGTGAAAATCTAGAACAGTTATTGAAACTGTTGTTAACAGTAACAGGCAAATAACAAGGATTTATCAAAAAGTTAAATTACTCTAATGTTACCATAATATCTTGATAATACCGAAATATGTTATGATGTACTGTGCTGTGATCAGCTAGGCTGGAGTGAACAGATGCAGTGCTTTGCCCAAAGGTATTTATAACCTGTAGGTAGGGCAGCAGCAGATATTCTATACCCACTATACACGTACAGCATGCATCTAGGCACAGGGCTTGTATAGATACTTGGCAGGGGCCTACATACCGTTTTACTAAAGCGATGTTTGTAGTGTCCAGTGAAAAAAATACACGGGGGCTCGGGGCGATTTAGCCCCCGAAATGCCAAAAAGAGCCCCCGTAAATTTGCATAGATTTCAATGCAAACCAAATTTTAGAGTGCTATTTTCATGCACGCGAGCTTAAAAAGTAGCCCCCGAAAAATACCTTTTAATTTTTTCCCTGGTAGTATCAGGTAATCAATTCACAGTCTCTGGATATGTCTTCGTTTACATTTCAGAATGAATCGCAGTGGAAAAGGCTCTTTGATGAGGTATGTTCTAAAATGCTTAATGAAAACCAGTATCAATTGGGTGCATTAGCAGGAGAAATACTAACAGATCCCCTAGTCATGAATTTGACTTGCTCCTACTGAAAAAAATTCAATTATGGAAATAATCATTTATTATTATTATTTATTTCCTTTTTTACTACTACTGCTACTGCTGAGCACTTGTGTTGCTGCTACTGTTGCTGTTGCTGCTGCTACTACTGTTGTTGCTGCTGTTGCTGCTGCTGCTGCTGAGCACTGTTTCTGCTGCTACTTCTACTACTACTACTGATGATGATGATGTGATATCAGTATGATGCGGATCATGACGGCTACATCCCGTTGGCTGAGTTTCGGAACATCATGATAGACAAGGCTCACACGCACGACTTACCGCGCTCCAAGCACGACGACATCATCATGCGGGCAGATAAGGACAACGATGGCCGAATCAGTCAGCAGGAGTTTGTCAACATCGTAGGTGCAATTTCACAGCGAATGCTTCGACGTGATCGCGTGATAGACACTCTGTTCGTCGAGGAAGCGAGTAATTTTTTCTGAAAAAAATCGCTTAGACTTTTTGGTAAGATTATCTGACTTCAACTCGGACTCTCAAACCGCCGGGACCAGTGAACGGTCGTCGTGGTAATGTCCCTGGCAACTGTGCACGGTGGCGTGCTTGCAATTGGATGCTGCTGCGTGTCGTAGCCAAGGGCGTAGCCAGGAATTTGGATTCATAATAATAATAATAATAATAATATTAATATTGAGTATAATAATATTCAGCCATTAGCGGAGACAAACTAGGAGCGTCTGTGTGCCAGCTCTACCGGTGCTCCTTCAAATTAATTTAAACTCAGATCAACGTCTGATAGCCGATAAATTACAACAAGAAACATCTGCATTTTAATAGTGTTGCGGTTGATATCAAGCGAAGATAATAGTACTTATTGATAAGGTATTGGTAAGGTTTAATTTTAAGAGCACGAGTATTGCTCTCTCTTGGTGAATTATCAGTCATCACAAACATATTCATTAAAGTTTATTCACTGTTAAGCTCTTAGCGTTATAGGCTCACTGTTATATAATAACGTAAAATCTCGCATTGCATAGGAAATGCTTAGTGATACAAAAGAAAATCAACAACAATAAATTTAAAATAAAGAAACTTGATGGAAACGAACTTTTTCGAATAACCCATCAATGAATTAATTTAAATAATCAATTACTACCGAATAAAAATACAATACACAAGGCGACAAATTGATTCTTTCCGAATCGTAAATGCACACACGTACACTCAGCTACACACCGCGAAACATGACTAGATGGTGTCTACGTTGCACTTGCGTGACGCAAATCGGTGTAGCGTTTCTCACACTTTATTGCCATTTTGGCAGCTTTAACATTACCAGGTTTTCTTCGTAATACCTTTCCATTGCGGTCTCCTTATATGTAATATGTCATTAACATGTAATTATCATGCAATATATCATTTAATGTTATCATCAAACATTGGCCGCGCCGGTTTATCGGTGTCGTACAATCTCAGCCAATCGATGAACCCTGGTGATAATAAATTACTTCTTCGCTGCTAACGATATAATAATAATTCGGTGGGCATTACATAATTACATAATTACATAATTACATAATGACGGGATGCTGCATGATTAGCAGACGAGAAATGAGCAGTCATGCCAGAGCAGCAACAGACGAAGTTGCTACAGCAGACACTGCAACGTCACGCACACCGTCACTTGGAACGTTTAAATAATAAAATGATGGTAAATAAACACGAAATGTATTTACTACCAAAGTCGTTTTTACCGAAAAAAATGGTTTTCGATTATCCAACGACAGGCTTGATGAATCGGTGACAATGCTACACAGACGTGAACGGAGTATCGACCGTTACGCTAAATACGCTCAAGGATAGCACAAGCATCTGCCTGCGATGTGTTAATAAACGCATGCAGTGCGTGGCGAAGCACAGGCACTTGGAACGTTTCAATAAAAAATATGGTAAATAAACACGAAATGTATTTGCTACCAAAGTCTTAATGTTTCTCTACTCTCTTTCGCATATTATTGTCGATAATCTACTGTAAATGTTTCTCTGCAACACACAAGTACACCGCACGCACGCCGCTGCGCACACACAACAATTATATAACCTCTTTATATTTGTTATTTGTGCACAACAACAAGATAGTAGAGACACGTTAAGACTTTGGTATTAAATACATTTCGTGTTTATTTATTGTAATTTTATTATTGAAACGTTCCAAGTGCCCGTGGACACGCACCGCAACATGCAGGTGATTCAAGAATAGGCAGTGCCACAGCACGCAATGTAACGGCAGCCAATACAACAGCAAACAACGCTTACAACAGCAAACAACTATTCTACTAGCGTGGCAACTCACCGTCAATGGCGCAGTCCTACGTTCGATGGGAGACTGCAGAAGTAGTATCGTCAAGCAGAACTAGCGCATCTAGAGATTCAGTGAAGTATATGAACGCAGCTAAACTTGTACTTTGCTTCTAGTGGTTATCTCGTCTTGGCACGGGATTGCGACGATATATAACCACCCCGACACCGTCTCCGCAGAGGCGTCTGCTGACCAGACTCGTACTCGTTTCTCATTGGCTGGCCTGACACTTGTACTTAGTGACGTAGATTTGTCACGTGACGACGTGCGTATACGTGTGTGTGTTTCTATTGCGTGGGATACGAAATCATACGATTCGAGGCTGTGTGGAACGCGTATCGGTTGGTCCGTCGGTCGGTTGGCGCATATGTATATATAGGCTATAGTAATATCATGCAGGAGTGAATAATAATATAGATAATAGATAATAGATAATAGATAATAGATAGATAATAGATCTATTATTATTTGCTCCTGGTAATATATATATATATTGTTGTAACTTCCCAATATAAAGTTCTCTTTTCTGCATAAAAATTGCACATTTACAAACTTTAGAATATGTTATAAAGGAGAATTATTTGGGTACGTCTCCGTTCAAGCGACCTGGGCATGGGTGGCGAGTGAGAGCAGAAGATTATGCGGCAGAGGTCGCAGATGCGACTGGATGTGTAGCGTGGGCAGCTGCGGGCGCCTATTTACTCACTTATTTGCGCTCTCGGCTCCCTGCTTGTTGTCCCGCCCGCAAGCGCCTAGCATCCGCCCTCGAACAAGCGCCGCGAGCTCTCGTTTATCGAACCAGCCGACATATAATCCCTGACGACAAGCACGAATCGCGTCTGCCGGCTTTCACACGCGTCGTCATATCTAAACTGCGTAAGAACCAATTAAAGCGCAGGCTTTGCGAGGGCTTACCGGCTTCCACTCGCCAAATGGAACGACTTTCCCTCGTGGCGAAACTGCGCGAGTCAAACGATGCTGACATTCTCAGTTCGGATTAATTTCAGAAATTATTTTCTTCGTTCTTCTCATCGTCGGAGCGAAATTGAAAGTCGATTTCGCGTCCGTATGAGCGCGCGTGCGCTTGCGCGCATATGGTTCTGTTACCTATTTGTTAGTCTGTGTCCGATCTACCTATGTATGTATGTATGTATGTATGTATGTATGTATGTATGTATGTATGTATGTATGTATGTATGTATGCCGAAGATTCTGCTCTCTCTCTCTCTCTCTCTCTCTCTCCCTCTCTCTCTCTCTTCTTCTCTTCTTCTCTCTCTCTCTCTTATCTCTCTCTCCTCTCTCTCTCTCTGTCTCTCTCTCTCTCTCTCTCTCTATATATATATATATATATATATATATATATATATATATATATATTTGTAGGTTTGCGAACCGCTAAATGTTTCTCCTAAGCATCGAAAAAAGTCATGAATGAGTAACACACTCACCACGATTTCGGGCGCGCTCGACAGATGATGAAAGCAAACCGCGATAAGATTTATAAAAAAAATTGAGTAAATGATATATATATACCATTCATCCATGCCATTCAATACATCATCACTCACATTCCCATCCATCCAACCTTCCATCCATCCATCCATCCAATCCATCCATCCATCCATCCATCACATCCAATCCACTCCATCCATCCATCCAGCTCCATCCATCCATCCATCCATGCCATCCATCCATCCATCCATCGCATCCATCTGCCATCATGCCATCCATCCATTCATCCATCGCATCCATCATCCATCCATCCATCCATCCATCCATCCATCCATCATCCATCCATCCATCCATCCATCCATCCATTCCATCCATCATCCAGTCCATGCCTCCATCCATCCATCCATGCCATTCCATCCATCCATGCCATCCATCCATCCATCCATCCATCATTCCATCCATCCATCATCATCCATCCATCCATCCATCCATGCCATCATCCATCCATCCATATCCATCCACTCCATCCATTCCATCACCATCCATCCATCACCATCCATCCATCCATTCCATCCATCCATCCATACGCATCCATCCATCCATCCATCGCATGCCATTCCATCCCTACCATGCCATCCATCATCCATCCATCCATCCATCCATCCATCCATGCCATCCATCCATCCATATCCATACCATCCATCCATCCCATCATGCCATCCATCCATCCATCCTCCATCCATACGCATCGATCCATGCCATCCATCCATGCCATCCCATCCATTCGAATCCATCCATCCTACTATCGCATCTCCATCCATCCATCCAACCATCCATCAATAAATAAATTAATACAATCATCCGTTCACCATTCGTCCGCCCGTTCATTCGTTCGTATTTTGTTACTTTTATTTTGTTGAAATTCAATATACGGCTATAATGGAGCAATATATAGTAGAAAGTTAAATATGAAAAATTTTATGGCTCAAAGACTTACTCCAATTATATGACGCAATACCCTCGCGACGTGATATCTTCCATGTTGGTTGAAATTAGCCTATTTACGAAAACAGCGTTTCTTAGCTCTAGAGTAGCATTCTGTGAAAAATAATGAAAGCTATTGGCCTCCCCTTTATATAATGAAAGGAAGCGCACTTAACAGTTGCCAACATCCCATATATAATATATATATATTATATATATATATATATATATATGTATATATGAGAGAGAGAGAGAGAGAGAGAGAGAGAGACGAGAGTAGAGAGAGAGATAACGACGCGCGACGCGCGCGCCAGCACACAACACTACGCACACCGCACACACAAGCACGCACAGCACACGGCAGCGATGCCATCACATCACACACACACACACACCACAGGCACCAACAGCCCAGCACACACAGCACACCACACACACACACACACCACGCACGGAATTGCTCATGTATAACTTCAGCCAGGACCGCAAATTAGAGGGCAAGGTGTGGCTCTATATATGGACTCCTTGGGCGTCCGTGGATGGGCTTCAGGGGGTCCGTGAACCCCATTGTATGCAAAATTTCGTGTTTATGTGTTATGTGCGTGTTTTTCTGTGGAGGGGTCCGTACTTCATCATGCAGATTCTCAAGAGGGTTACATGATCAAAAAGGGTTAAATAGGAACCAGCCGTTCACGAGGGAGGGGAAATTTTAAGAAATAAAGTAAGATATATACATGGCTAGGCTGTTAAAATTAAGCTCAAAAAGGTTTGAATGGCAAATGTTGAAATGTTGGAGGCAGTTCGTAATTTCGCCAGTAGATCAAATTTGTACATAGTGTAGAACAAATAATAAATTTATGTAAATATAATAACCTGTTATATTTCGTTAGTTCAAATTGCTGCATGCTAATTGTTCTAATGATTAAGAGTAATTTATGTACCTGACCACAATGGACGCGTGCTTGTCATACTTTTAATGTATATAATTTTGTAGTTATCTTTAATTCTTGATTTAAAATTCATTTTAACAATAAGTATATATGAATGATTAGCTGAGTAAAACAACAAATAAAGTCACCATCATCAAATTGCGTTAGCGCTGTGGTGGTGTTGTGTGGGGAGAGGGGACTTAAATCCGGCTGCTAGTGGGTCAAAAACTCTGCCAAAATCACACCGGTCGGGTGGCTTGGCCCCAAGCACAATAATTATAGCTATATACGACTTGAACAAGGCTTCTACTGCTATGTGTTTATATCGACGTGACGTAAATTAAGGGCTTAACCGATAAAAATTAAAACCGATTATCGTCGAGTTTTGCGATTATGGATTTGTTTCAATAATTTTTTAGACCAGACATAACACGCGACGCGTGAACTACGTGATATACTGAATGCGTATGTACCATAGAAAATAATATAGATAACCTATATTATTAATGGTATAGATGGTTATCTATTATTTCTATGGTATGTACGCATAGTTGTGCAAAAGAGCGTATAAAGAAGGGTTAAATGTCCTTCTTTATATGCTCTTGGTAGCAATGCATGTCTGTCTCATGACGTCAGCTTCGGTCATTAAAGGTCTAATATTTTAGTTTTAAAATAATGTCTTAGCATATATAATTAATTCATAATTTCTCATTTTCCTACAAGGCATCACATTAGTATTTTATTTGTACTTTTTTACGTTTGGTAATTAAATAGCTGCTGTTGAAAAGCCAACTAGCTTTAACACGTGGCGTTGTGTAAGCCCTGCTACATTGCAGCTTTGCCGTGTCGTGCACCTGTGCTTGGGAAAGATTGTTGATTCTTTAACTATGGTTTTACCAAGGTGCTGATATATGCGCCTGAGGTTCGCGTTAAGCGTTGCTGCAACTCGTTTGATATATAATAAGCTGTGCATCGGGCAGAAAGGAAGACACCTACAAGATGGAGTACCAACATTGGAGCGCCACCGGTAGAGCTGATCAAATGATGGTAGCATAGTCAATAGTTGCAACCCTGGGAAAATACCTAAAATTAAAATACTAAACTACTAACAAGATAGTTATCATGACATATTTATAATAATTCCTATGCGTATAAGAGCTCTATGAAGTGTTTTATGTTTAATACTAATACTAATAGTATAGCAGGAGTAGCTCTAGTACTATAGGTACATAGCCCGCAGGATCCGCTGCGCAGGCCTGCGCAGCGATCCTGCGGGCTATAGTACTAGAGCGATAGCAGGAGTATACCTTCCAACCAGCTATTTTGGGCGTTCACGATAGTGTGTTTGTAATCTCGTTTAAGGGTGGCTGAAGTGGATTAGTTGTTTCAGGGCAGCGCAGGCTTGGTATGGCAGACAATTCTAACCAAATATAATTAGCTATTAGTAATGCTGGCATGAATTTAATACGCATGCAGCAGCTGTATGCAGTAAAAGGAAAAGTATACTCTACGTATAAATTGTTAACGAAGTATTAGTCTATGGAGCGGCACTTCTAACAGTAAACTTAATACAGTAAGTTATATTGTAATCTCTGCACCTGGCATTATCTGTTATCATTTAGTTTGCATGTAAGTGCTTTGTTGTACTCTATAGAAGAATTGGGGTTTGCCCCCACCAAAATCGTACCAACTGTCAATTTAGATTTAGCACCTGCATCCGCTCGGCGAGGAGGCCAGGGTTTGCCAAACGGCCAGAAACGAACTAAAAGCACAAACTATTGGGCCATGTCCGATTTAATTCAGCGGTCAGTGCTATTGAGGGCTGAATCAAGATTAAGGCTTTGCCATGGTGCGGCAAAGTGTCCAAACCAAGAGCCCCATTTCCCGAGCACTGTGGTTTTATTCGCCCAGTTATATAACCATATGTTATTTATTTATTTATGTTATATTGGGGGTTTAGGAATGTCCTCATTGCCGCAAGGTGAGGAGCAATGAGCCTCTAGTTGAGCGAAAAGGGCTACATAACCAGTTCATATCAGATTGACTGTAAAGAACTAAACTATTATCAAGTTTAGGACAAATCGGCCTGCTGATACATCCAGAGATTTGCTGCTCAGCCGCGGTGTGTAGTAGCAAGTGATTGGCTTTATTGAATTAAGGCAGCGATTAGCTGATTCGATATTAATTAAAGTAGTATATTTTGTCAAAGTACGTGCATAACCTTGCATAAGTCGCTGCAGCAAGAACAAGGTGTGGTTTTTCAGTTTTTATCGTTGTTCACCTGTAGTTTACATGCTCGGAATTTCAATAATGGCTCAAGGCTAGCAGTGCTGAGAGGGTCGAGTTCTCCAGGTTTACTGCCTGGACCGTCCCTGGGTAGCGGTCCGGGGTATACCGGTAACGTACCCTGGTACCAAAGCATAAATAACGTGATTTATATGCTCTGGCTGGTTATAACAATATGCCGGCGACCGTAGCCTCGCCTACTCCAGCTAACGAGTCTCGGAGTCGTACGCTTTACTCGACTAAGCCTAAACTCTAACCTTACCATATCGATAGTTACCCAGGGTAGTTCCGGCGGTACCCTGGGGGAACATCTAGACCCTATGAGCGCTAAGCAGTGTACTTGTACATGTGTATGGTAGCCAAAATGTCCAAAATGCACTGCATGTTAAAGATTTGAATTTTGACTTTCTAGAAGTTTATATTGGCATTTTGAATAAACTGTTGGCCAACTGGTTAATACTATTTTTCATCAGAGTAATTTTTTATCACATAATTAAATCCATGCATTTGTTCGTGTGAAAATCTAGAACAGTTATTCGAAACTGTTGTTAACAGTAACAGGCACATAAAGGATTTATCAAAAAGTTAAATTTACTCTAATGTTACATAATATCTTGATCATACGCGAAATATGTTATGATGTACTGTGCTGTGATCAGCTAGGCTGGAGTGAACAGATGGCATGTGCTTTGGCCAATAGGTATTTATAACTGTTAGGTAGGGCAGCAGCAGATATCTATACGCCACTATACACGTACAGCATGCATCTAGGCAGCAGGGCTTGTATAGATACTTGGCAGAAGAGGGCCTACACTACCGTTTTACTAAGGCATTGTTTTGATAGTGCGTGCCAGTGACCAAAAAATACACGGGGGGCTCGGGGCGATTTCAGCCCCCAACAAATGCCAAAAACAGCCGCCCGTAATTTGCATAGATTTAATGGCAACCAAATTTTAGAGTTGCTATTTTTCATCGCACCGGCTTAAAAAGTAGCCCCGAAAAATATTTTAATTTTTTCCCTGGTAGTTCAGGTTAATCAGCATTCACAGTTCTGCTGGATATGTCTTCGTTTACATGTTCCAAATGATCGGCAGTGGAAAGGCTCTTTGATGAGGTAGTTTAAATGCTCAATGAAATCCAGTATGCAATTGGGTGGCAATTAGGCCAGGAGAAATACTAAAGATCCCTAGTCATGAATTTGACTTTGCTCCTAGACGTGAAAAAATTGCAATTTAATATGGAAATAATCATTTATTATTATTATTTATTTCCTTTTTTATACTACTGCTACTGCTGAGGCACTTGTGTTGCTGCTACTGTTGCTGTTGCTGCTGCTACTACTGTTGTTGCTGCTGTTGCTGCTGCTGCTGCTGAGCACTGTTTTGCTTGTACTTCTACTACTATAAACTGATGATGATGATGTGATATCACTATCAGTATGATTGGATCAACAGAGCGGCTTACATCCCGTTGGCTGAGTTTCTGGAACATCATGATAGACAAGGCTCACACGCACGACTTGCCCGCGCTCCAAGACGACGACATCAATCATGCGGGCAGATATGGACAACGGATGGCGCCGAATCAGTTCCAGCAGGAGTTTGTCAACGATCGTAGGTGCAATTTCAACAGCGAATGCTTCGACGTGATCGCGTGATAGCACTCTGTTCGTCGAGGAAGCGAGTAATTTTTTCTGAAAAAAATCGCTTAGACTTTTTGGTAAGATTATCTGACTCAACTCGGACTCTCAACGCGGGACAGTGAACGGTCGTCGTGGTAAAGTCCCTTGCAAAACTGTGGCACGGTGGCGTGCTTGCAATTGATGCCGCTGCGTGTCGTAGCCAAGGGCGTAGAGCAGGATTTGGACATTGGATGGGGGGGGGGTCCCCTCGAGCGAGTAACAAGGGGGTCTGGTGGTCTGAAGTTTTTTTTTTTTAGTTAAATGTAAAAATAGTGCTTTAAAATCAATTTAGATGCTGTTTTGGTTTGACAATACTATTTCTTCTGCAGCTTTTTTTTGGATTTTCTTTATCCAAATTT